TCCGAACCTCTTAGTCGCGCTTTGAGGCCCCTTGGCATCCGAACTGTTTTCAAGCCATACAGAACTATTGGAAATTCCGTTTCCAAACCAAAGGACCCAACCCCGGCGAACGTCCAAAGAGGCGTTATCTACAAGATCCCCTGCAGTGACTGCCCAGCGTCCTACATTGGTGAAACCGGACGGAGGAGAGATACCAGACTCAAAGAACACAAGCGTGACGTCACGTACGCATCCCACGCGACGCGACTGAAGACTGAACTGGTGGACCACGCGTGGACAATGGGGCATTCTTTCGACTTTCCGGCCGCGACGACCTTGGCGAGAGAGGACAGATGGGGGCCCCGAAAGCTTCTAGAATCGTGGTTTCTTCGCAGGGACACATCCGTGTGCAACAAAAACCGCGGCCCTCTCCACGAAGCTTACACGGACATTCGTGATAAATAGCGTTGTGTTTAGGTTGAACCCTGCATTTGCTGTGTAACTACTGATGACGCCTCCCGCATGGGAGGCGAAACGTCTAATGAAGTTGTTTCTTCTGTTATGTCAAGTCGGTGTACTTATTTTAATTATGACGTCTCCCGGCTTTTGGAGTATTTTTGCATTCCTACACGTACCCCCGAAAACTGCGCTAGGACTTCTCGACTAGCCAGCAGTGACAAAACAGGATGGCCGAAAACCCAAGAAGAACACAAAAACAACCCGCTTAAACTGAAGCGAAAAATAAAACAACAAAACGCATGGCTAGAAATGACCAAGCCAGGCACCTCTCGCACCAATTGCTAAATAAAAATGAGGAAAAAAAAGGACAACACTTCTTACTATACTCAGGTTCTCAGCAGGCCTCTCGAGGACCTGGATCGATCGCAACCATGACACCATTGGTGCCGCAAGTACTTCCGCAAACAAAAGACCAAAACATCAATAAATCACAGCGAACCAACAGTCAAGGGAAAACTGAAAACGCTTGGTGAACACTGAACAGCGCTGAAACGTTCGATTACACAAAATAAAACACAGCCACGCTCCTCCAGCACGACCTGCTAAATGAAAATTAAAAAACAGGAACAACACTTCTTTCTGCTCCTGGAGACAGAAACCTTGATCACCCACTTAACTATAGACTGTGCGGACCTGTCTTGGTCGCACCAACGACATCAAAAGTGCCGCAAGAGTTTCCGAAACAAAAACACAACAAAACTCAAAAAGCGTGGCAAACGCTACACAACACGTTCGAGTTCAATGGCACCTCACAAGGGCCACGGCAGTGATCGCTTCCCCACATGCACGCCCGCTGACACCACGTGTGTGAGCGCGACAAAGCGCTCCCTTGCCGCCATACAATCACCCCTTACTCGGGCACATGTGTCGTGTGTCACGATGACAGTGTAGCTCGCCAGAGCTTCATTAGGCCCACGAAGGCGTGCTCGGCTCGGCCGCTCCACGGAACCGCGTACGGCAATCGCGTCGCAGACGTCAGAGAAAGGACCAACTTTGCGCCCATGGCGCGCCATCGCCGTCCCCGCTCCAAGATTGTCGCCCCACGGCGATTCATGCTCCTGCACCTGTACCTCCCCGCGCCGCCCACTTGGTGGCACCCACTGTGTCACACCTTCACCACAAGGCCCATCGTGTGGACGTCGAAGTCCAACCTGAACAGCTGCAGTAGCCCCCCTCGCGACATCAGCCTCTACTAGCCTCCTCAGTGTCGGTCCCGACCCCTGGTTCTTCGGGAGCTCCTCCCCTCCAGCTGCCCGGACGCAGGAAGACCCTCGTTCGCAAGCGGCCCGATCGGCCTCCGACCCCACGGCAGTCTCCAGACCCTGTATGGCGAGATCGGCCTCGGAACCCACGGCAGTCTCCAGACCCTGTAGGGCGCGATCGGCCTCGGAACCCACGGCAGTGTCCGGTCCCAATACGGCACGATCGGCCTCGAACTTTACGACAGTGTCTGGTTCCTGGACAGCGCGATCGGCGTCGAACCCCCCGGCAGTCTGCGGTCCCTGCACGGCGCGATCGGTCTCGGACCCGACAGTGTCCGCTTCCTGGAGAGCGCGATCAGCGTCAGACCCCCCGGCAGTCTGCGGTCCCTGTACGGCGCGATCGGCCTCGGACCCGACAGTGTCCGCTTCCTGGAGAGCGCGATCGGCGTCAGACACCCTGGCATTCTGCGGTCCCAGTACGGCGCGATCGGCCTCGGACCCGACAGTGTCCGCCTCCAGGAGAGCGCGATCGGCGTCAGACCCCTCGGCAGTCTGCGGTCCCAGTACGGGACGGTCGGCCTCGGACCCCACGACTGCCCGCGGTCCCGGTACAGCTCGATCGACCTCAAACCCTACTTCTTGGGATGCGCGATCGGCATTGGACCCCCCGGCCGTCTCCGGCTCCTGAACGACACGATCGGCCCCGGACCCCACGGCTGCCTCCTGGTCGCCTCGCGCGTCCGGTTCTGTCTCCCTCACATAGCGAGCCTCGGGCGCCGTGTCTTCCGCTGCCCGAGGCTGCGTCTCTTCACGGCGCTGCCCGAGGACCCGCGCTCTAGCTCTCTGCTCCTCCGCCCGGAGTTCTGCCTGTCGAACCTGCCGCTCCAGCTCCTTCGTTTTTTCCCTCGCAAGGGCTAACCGAACGCTCATCGGAACCGCTTCCCTATGCGACCCCTTGTCGCCTCCGTCACTAGGGCTCCCCCTCTCACGCAAGCTACACTTCGCCATGCAGCAAAGCGCGCGGGTGTCAGCCCGCGACGAAAGGGAAAGCGACCACGTACCTGGCGATGCTGTAGAGCCCACAAAAGTCGTTGACGCCGCCGAACTCGTGAGTCCCCGGCGTCGATCACCGCACGCAGAGTCTGTTCTGTGAGACCCGGCTGTCACCGCTGCAGGCGTCGGGTGTCGCCAAACACGCAGGTCACTGGCGTCGATAGCAGCCGCCGACGTTCGCTTGCCTGAATCTGTTGTCGTTGTAAAAGGCCCCAGGCCCACGGCAGTTGTCGATGACGCCGAACCCGCAGGTCACCGGCGCCGATCGCCCCACGCGACGTCCGCTTCTTGGCTTTCGCCGCTGTCGGCCACAGGCGTACTCGTAGCCGTGCCTCGTTGTGCCAGGCTGCTGGTCGTCTCGACTGGTCCTGGGCTCCTGCCGATGGACACCGCCACACTCCGCGCCAGCACCGGCCTCGTCGTCTTCCTGGCACACGATGTTGTCGAAGTGGCCGACGACGTCCACGATCCCCGTCGACTGCGCCAGTAATGATTCTTCCTTCCAGGAGCGATGGTGGTTTTCCCGGCACTCCGTCGTCTCCCTCGGGTTTCGATGGAGCCGGGTGACCGTGGAGTGTCGTGCGGTGGTGCGGGGATCTGCCGTTCTCGCCAGTCAGGAGCCGGAGAACTCGATGGAGGTTTTTCGACAAATATATTTACAAAGAAGGACGAATATAGTACAAGGCTGTCACGCCGCTGCTGCCGCTCACGGCAGCCCGACGTCGACAAAAGCGCCTCAGCGCCAAATCCGTTGCCGCGCACGGCAAGTTCTTTGCCCCGCAGGACAAAGTACGCGGAGCCCTCGGGACCGCGGGAGAATAACGTCTTGCTCCGCGCACGGGCTCGTTCAGACTCAACTTTTTCCAAAAAGATACACGCCGACATTCCGAAGAGAGGCCGGATCTCCCTCTCTCCGCGGAATCGCCGACATGTCCCTGACAAGGTCGCTTCCCCAATTACCACGGCGGCAAGGGCGATCACCCACTCCCGCCTGGAAGGTTTCGTTTACTTCCCACGCGGGGAAATCTGCTTCCACTTTCGGGAGCTGGCCGCCGCTTGCCGCCAAAGGGAAAACGTGAGACATCGGGCGCCTCCGAAGGACGCTTCGGGTGACTGCGCCGCCAATTCCCCGAGCTCTTTCGGCAAAGCCCCTTCGGCCATTCCTCCAGATGGCTGACACAACGCTCGCCTAAGCGGAGTATACTAAAGGCTTCAAAAATTCGCGAGTGTGTTTTTCGGTGAATCTGCCAATTATCTTTAATCTTTCCATCAATACATCGAGTTGTGAGTTTGCGCTTGTCTCTTCTCTCTTCCCTCTTCTCTGTACCTTTCTATTTGTGCGCAATTTTAACCATGTTCAATCATTACCAACTCGCCCAACTAACCACTTTACTGTAGAGTGGAATTAAGAATTATTGTATGAATAAACATTTAATGCGCGTGTCCAAACACTATTTTGGAGAATTAAAATTAAACACGGAAAATCGTCAACAACGACAACAACAGCAAAAAAGCGGACTAAGGAATTTGGTATTGCTTTCCAGCGTTACATAAAATTAACGATCGTGCTGGGAGTTGCCCATTTCATTCCCCTGTAGATTATTTTGGTTTTATCCTATTTTTAAATTATTCAGCTTATTATGCAATGATGATTATAAGTAGCCCCAGAGAGCACTCGGCCCAGCAATATAATTATTTAAAAGCAGCGACCAGGGCAACTAATTTTATATTCGGGTTGATATGATGTAGCGAGCGACCATTAAAGTAGTTTATTTAGAGTCACTGACTAAATGAGCAACGAAGGGTGTGGCATCATCTGTTCAAACATCTTGTCTCGTGATAGGTTGTTAGGCGTCCTTTTCGGATGATGCCGCAATCTTATTGGCTGTAGAGCGATAATGAGATGCGCGGAACTCGCCAAGCCCTGCGTTTCTTACGTTTTCGGCGACTGTGGAAGGAAGGCGGTTTTGTACAAAACAAAATACTTTGCACTTGGCAAAATAATTTGGTACTTTCTTCTTGCTTTTGCGAACACGAAGCTTACTGCTAAAGGAAGTAAAATAGGTGGTGCGCTATTGTCGACTTACCTTGAAAGTAATTATTTATGTAAATGTTGTCGGTAAGGCAGACTCGTGCAGGAGTTGTATACACGATTTTAATACCTTGTGGTAATCAATGTGTATTTATTTCGGAATTGAAGCACTTTCACGAGTCTTGCGGAGCCCAGTAGCGTAGACAAAGGCGTGTTCAGCACTCAGGCGGGGGAGTCATCGTAGCTGGCGTAGTTGGCGTAGTTGGCGTAGTTGGCGTAGCTGACTCAGGCGGGGGAGTCGTCTCAGCTGGCGTAGCTGGCGTAGCCGTCGTAGTTGGCCTAGCTGGCGTAGTTGACGTAGTTGGCATGGCTACTGGAATATAAAAACGTGGGCGGTGAAATAGAACATCAGAGTTTATCGTAAATACTACTGATATTGAAATTTAAGAAGGAAACCTAAGAGCAGAAAACTATTTTAACCGAAATAACGCTATGACCTCAGTTTTAAACGTTAGCTTTAATATTTTCACCAGAATCATGATAATTGAATTGTCCAAACTAATTTCTTATGCAAATTTTGTACGACATATTTTGATTGTCTTTTTATATAAATTTCGAGTTATAAAAAGAAATGACGATCGATGTTTCGGAAGAAAAGCAAAACCAAAGATGCTTGTTGCTGGCTATATGATATGGCGTCGGAATATTGTCAAGAAAGACACAAGATGAGGCAAGAAAAAAAAAATGAACTTAAGATTTATTAGGGCGAGCTTGTGCCAGAAATAATCAAATAAAAGTCGTTTACAATTTTCTGTAATGCCGAATTAGAGCTCAGCTTTTGAGGAGTAGGAGGGGAAGGTACAGAGGGAAGGGTCACGTGTGACGTCACGAACGTCACGAAATTAAAGTTTTCCCGCTAAATTTAGCGGAAACATTTTCCTCTAACTTTAGCGGAAATATTTACCGCCAAAATTAGCGGGAAAACTTTTCACTCGTGACGTCACACGTGACATCACTTGTGACGTCATTATAAGAAATGGCCCACAATACAACACGCGGTAACGCCGACGGCGACGGCAATGCCGCTCAATCCGGAAACGGATGCCTAAATGCACGACCACATTGGCGTCGCGGAGGCCTGCGGCGCGACGGTCGGTGCTGCCCATAGAGATTATACATACTAACTCTAGAGGAAAAGGTCCGCCATTTTCTCATACATTCTGGCTGCCGCAAGCGGCGGATCATGGAGGCAGACCCTCGGGGTCCCAAACACGGTTACATCATCAGAGCAGTTTCGTGAACTTCAACAATCCACGAACTTACCGGTGGAAAGATATTCGCGTTCCTTTCGAAGCTTTCTTTTTGCATAGCGCGCAGATGTACGGCCTCGCGTTAACGCTAAACTAAACCATATACCCGGCCTCGCGGCTTCGCCGGTGGGGCGCGGGTGGGCGCGGTTGAGGAATACGAAACTGCGCAACCACCAGATTTCCGAGATTTCGACAGAAGGGAAGTTAATGCAGCGTAATGACTTTATTGCTTTTTATAAACGTTAGAATAGCTCAGAATTTAGTTTACAACGTTAAATTATCACTGTTTATATTGCTGAGAGTTTTCACTCTTTGCGTTTACCATGGCAACGTTGCTTTCTTTCTCTCGTGTTCTGTCGCTCTCTTTTGCGATCGTTCACTCGGGACCCCGGGTGTCGGCGCACGGGATTTGCCACTCCTCCTCACCCACCTTTACCCTCCTGGTGCTGCCGTCTGTTGATCGAAACCAGTTTTCGGCTTCAACGGCGCGACGCACGGCGCCACAGAGTCAACCGCTCCCTGCGCGGTTCAGAGCTCGGTGCCGCACGCCGCAGAAGAGAGGAGCCAATGGGAGGTGGCGTAGATAGTGACGTCGCGATGCCATGGCAACGCTCAAGCCGGTCCTTGGCGCGTCTTTCACGTTCCGAAGGACCGGTTTCGTGTCGTCTGATATATACCTATTTCCCCCCGATGCCTTCCGCAACGGAGCGGTTCCTTGAAACTGTGCGACTGTTTCCCTTTTTATATGACAAGACGCAGCCAGACTACCTAGCTAATGACGCTAAGAACAACCGCTGAGAAATTATAGCAGAGGAATTCGGAATTGCAAGTGAGTTTCGCCGTGGCACTTGTTGAATGTCGTCTGTGTTGTGACGGATGTTGTGTTGATTTTGTGACACTTTCGAAAGTAGCCTTCATCTCTGCGCGCCATCGGGGCAGCAATGCGCTGACCTGTACTTCGGTGTTTCGGTAGAACCAAGGAGGTAACCTCCTTGGGTAGAACCAACTCGGCCGGACCCAAAACCTGCGTCTCCTTCCCTTCAGAGCGCGGCGACGTCGCAAGATCAACGAGCAGGATAGGATAATCACATTCACGTTGATCATCAGGTCATTGTGGACTCCTACCATGTAGGTAGCGAGTGCGGTTTCGATGTTAATATATGCGAAAGGTGAGAGCCGAAACGGAAGGATCTAACGAAGAGCAGACGACGAAAGAGCGGGAAATCCGACGGGAGGCGCGATCGCGAGATCCAGTGCTGTCACGTGACGCCCGCAAAACGGAGGCCAATGTGGACTCCTCGCGTTGGGACGCCGGACGGTGGTGCCGCCCGGCGGCGCCGCCCGGTGGCGCCGTTCACGCTATAGTCAGTTACAGGTTAAGAAAGTAGCGGCAAATGCCCCTCAAAGGGAATCAGATATCCCTCCGCCACCTCCGCATCCAATGGCGTCCCACCGTTTCCTTGACGTCGCGGCCAACGCGCGAGGAGGGTCTTGCCTTTCTGTACATATTTGCTTTATTTTTCGACTTTGACTTAGCATTGTGGAAGCCACGAGAGGGAGATTAGAGCTCTCCCCCACCGACGGAAACAAAGACGACTTTCGGGGATTAGCTTCCCCCCCGATGGATACAAAGGCTGCTTTCAGGGGCTTGGTTCCCTCTCCGATGAATACAAAGGTCGCTTTCTTAAAAAGTGGGATCGGAGACAAGTGGGAATCCATTGAAGCGGGACAAGGAGCGTTTCAAGTGAACTCTTCTTTCGACTGCGGAGAGATTTGACACGGGCGCATCACACTTGTGGGAGGAGCTTCTCCTACCTTCTTGACTTGTAACCGACTATAGTGTGGTCGGGCCTTAAAGGGCAACTCCGCTTAATTTCAAAAATTTTGAGATAGTGGCCGATTTTGCTTTTTGAAGCACTCAAAAACAATCCCCAATCCTTTGTTTCGCGAAAAATAAAATATTTTTCGTGTAATTTTACTCTAACCATGATCACAAACCGAAACCGAAACGGTGGCAAAGCCGGACAACATTGTATATTCGGCATCACTAAGCATGTACACCCACGTGATATACAAGGGAAGAAGGAGCTCCCTTCTTATCAGGATCCTCCTTTGTGCCTCCTGGATTAGCACAGGCGTCGCTATTCTCCTCCCAGAAGATTATAGAAGATTAACCTGTCACTCAAAATTCTTACAAAAGCAGCTTCCCTCTCCTCCTTTTACTTGGTGTTCAAAAGTATGGGATGTAACACAAGCCGCGCTCAACGAGGCGATCGGCTTATCAGTAGTATCAATAGTCGAGCGCCGGGCCGGCCGAGCGCGTCACTCACGTCTTTCACGGCGCTGGCACCACCCGTGCTCTCCCCAAAAAAGAAAACAAAATTGAAAATAAAAAAAAAAAGAAGCTGTACATGTTTGATGACGTCGCGGACGTGCCGGGAGAAGGAATTTGGAGGAAGCGGAAATGCAGCCGGGCAGTGTTGTCTGGCCCGCACGTCTCATCCAAAACCAGCGGATTCGTGCCTGTCAAACTTTGACAGCGATTTCAATGAACTTCTAGGGGGAATTCCGTCGTAATATTTGCCATGGGGGTTTTGTAGATGATAACAAAGAGAACTGTATAGTTTTGCACTACTGGAAAAGAAGCGGAGTTGCCCTTTAAAGGGGTAGTGAAACGAAATCTTAGCGCCGATCTTGTTGCATAAATATGGGCTAGGGACACGGCACCACCTCGGAAATATAAATATTGCGCTGGAAAACACAGGAGAACTAATTTTAAACATAATTAAACGATCTCAAATTCTCATCTGGTGGATGGGGGAAGTTCTCGTGACATCACTTGTGCCAAAATAGCAGCGCCGTTCTGCGGCAATACGGCGTGCCGGCAGAATTCGCCTAGGCCTGAACGCGTTTGCAAAGCCTTGGCGGAGAAAGCCAAAGCGTAGTTGGCCACAGTGAGCTCGTTCTCGTTGCGGCTCTTTGCACGACACGGCCCGAGCATGCTTCTGGCACGGCCGGTATTAGTTGCTGCGAGTCGCGAGCTGCAAGCCGACGTTAAAAAGGATATGTTTGAACCACGACCCAGAGTGGGTCGTGGTTTGAACTACGAGGGTGTCAGCAAGAGCCACGCAAATGCCAAATACCTGTTCACACTCGGAGCGGACACGCGCGTTTGATCGAAGTGCTGGATTCGCTCTGTTAGACCGCGTTTCGGTAAGCGCTTCTGGACCGATCTTTTACGATTGCAACTCGATACTGACATGACACTCGGCAAAGAAAGGTTAGACCGACATCGCGTAGCTCCCACGAACTGCTATAGCTCGACACTGACGTAGCGTCGAGTCAGAATAAAAATGGCATACTAATAACAGAGTGTACATACCGAGTTGCCAAGGTAATCCGTATGGCGTTTATTTGAGTTCTATATCACACAAAACAAGGAGATAGAATCAATGAGAGTCCCTTTTCGACGACAGCGTTCGTCACCGCTGTCTCGGAAAACAAGGAGATCGAGATGACAAGGGGAAAATATTGACCTCTGAAATTTAGTTCAGGGATCAAACTACTCATCCGGTAAGGGTCCACAAGGGTCGCGCGGGCATATTCCATTCAGCAGGCCAGCCGGTCATGGACAGACGGTCTTGGCCAAGGACCGCCGGAGCAACGGTATGGTGGCCACCATAGCAACGGTGCGCCGAGTCGGTGTTGCTGCTAGGCCTACTATATTCTGCCGAGCTCGCTCGGTCGGCAGAATCGTGGCTGTTGTAGCTCTTCTCGTGTGTTTGTGGATCCTGCGTTCTTTATCGTCGTGGTCTGTTTTAAGTACTCCTTCCTTTTTTCTTGCTGGTTGAAGTCGGGACCCACGAGAAGAGCACGAAGAAAAATAAATGTCCGTTGGTGGCCGATACCAAGTAACTGAGCGACGCTGTCGGCCTTGTTGATTTGATCGTAAAAAGTGCGTAAGACAGCTTCGGAGCTGTCGTAGGATTCTATCGTAACCTGCGCAAAGGTTACGACAATTTCGTTTCAAGAGCACGGGTTTTCTCTCAAATTTGTCGTGCGC